ATAGATAAGGCATTGAAAGGTTAATGATTAAAGCCTGGAGTTTATAATGAGGTACAAATGACTTAAAGATATACCAGATTCATTAAGTCCAAACTTTGTTGTTTGAAAGTGTCTCGGAGGTGGAGTCACATTTCCCCTCAAAGTTACAGTGAAGAGTTTGAAATGGGCAGAGCTGATACAAAAATAACACATCCAAAAGGATGGCTCTAGCTTTTCACTGTTTCTCATCTTTGATTATGTCCAAACACAACATACATTGAAAATATTGTACCCACTCGAGAGTGGCAAGAAATGTCTTCAGATATTCTAGAAAGCCCTTGCATCACCCATCAGGATCCCTACAATTGTTGTGGTGACATGTTAGATGCAGGGATAGTTTCCCTGGTTATTTTGCTAGCTCTAGTTCAGTCTGTGTGATGAAGTCCTCTTATCATAGTAGGTAAGGAATCCTCCTTTAAAGGAAAAACGTTACCTTACAGGTCACATCCCTTGACTGATTGTGGGTTGATTCCACTTCTCCCAACAAAACTTAAAATTGGAAATAGTGGTATACAGTGAGACTTGCCAGGATGCTATTTGAATGGACTTTCTGCAAAAGTCAAACTATTTCTTCAGGGTAAATTTTAATTTTAAGACCATTTTTGTGACCCATTGCATTTATTTAGCTATTAACATAGCATTCATAATCTTACTACACTGGTTCATAAATGAAGTATTGTTATCCTCTCCAGATTACAGTACATTTTATATCTCTGATTTGATTTACAATGTCAAGACATTTCTGGAGAGCAAAATTGCTCTCTCTTTGTACTTAATAGGAGATAATTTGAGGGAAACAAACAGAAGTAACAATTTGATCAGAGACAACAGTAACCTGTCAAATAACAGCTCTTAGCTTCTCATCACACTCCAACTTGGTCTTTGTTCAATACCTGGAATGAAATTCTGTGTATTTCTTGTTTCCCCAAAAGGCTTCCCTTTCTGATAGCATTCAAACATGGCCTCGGAGAGGAATGTTCGGTGGTGCTAACTTGTAATAGCTTTTTCTCCGAAACCCAAGCCCTCTTAAACTTAAGCCAGATAAAACCCTATCATCTACTTCGTTTGCTTTAATTCTTTTTTCCCTTTGCCTTTGGGAGGGGGCAAAAAAGGAAATAGTTGGCAGTACATTAAGGACACAGGCAGAGAGAAATGTAGGTTCCTGAAGAGTTTAAGGGAGATGGAAATCATCTGCTTTTGGGAACTGCCTGATGAAATTTAGCTGGTGCATTAGTTATCCAAATTACCACTTGCTTTTATCGCACAGACAATATACAGTTGAATTGTTAAATGATGTGCACTTTTTTTTCCAAGAGCAGGATTGGACACTTAATCAGGTCAATAATTATTCATGCATTAGCACAGTCTTCTTCTTAAAGTGTAACGGTGACTCACTGGGTATATAGTCATTATTACTGATTAGCAGGAAATTATTTTTGCGCATCAGTGGTTCATGTGAAAACAGCTAAATTTATTATGCTGAGTTATTTAACAGAGGACCATGTGAGAACCGTGGTATTACTGCTGTGATTGAATCTTTATACATTTACCACTAGATAACTACTAATAAGCCATACTGGCAGAATAACTGCTACCGCTACTTTTTTTTTACTACCAGGTCAAACTTTCTGAAGTTTGAAACTCGGGGTGGACAAACTCAACGTCCTTTCACATTGAAGTCCCTTAGAGATAAATGTACTTGATAAATAAATAAATGGAGAGCAAAAAGTAAATAACATGGAAAATGACTATAAAATTTAAAGAATAGGGAATAAGTGTAAAATAAGAGAACAAAAGGAAGGATGGGATGAGAGAAATATAATTTCCCTTAGTTTGAATCATTAATTGAATAATTTTTGATAAAATTTCTGAAATTTTCTTTGGTTTATATAATTGGTGTTTGGTATTATAAATGGAAGGCAAATCTTACATTTTATTTCAATCGTATCAACATAGAAACTATTTCAGGAAGAAAGTTTGCAAACCATTGGTATTTGTCCCTTTCGAGAGCAGGTAAATGTGTCACAGATTATGATACGTTCACTTGATAATGACCTTGCTTCAGTCACAGATTATGATATGTTCACTTGATAATGACCTTGCTTCAGCTCTACTTCATTCTGCTCTACCAACTCAGAACAGTATGATTTTTTTAATGGTGATATTATATAATTTTATCTGTAAATGTTTCAGCATAGATTGCTAAAAGGTAAAGATTCCCTTTAAACATAACCACAATGTTATCGTATCTAAAATGCATTAGAAACAACCCAGTAATTTCATCAAATCAAGCTTGCAGTCAAAATTCCCCAATTAAATAATAGTTTGTGTACATTTGATTTGTTTGAATAAGTATCCAAATAAGGTCAAAATAATGTATTTAGTTTTATATGTGTTTTATGTTTAAGTTACCTTTTTTATTAATTTTTGCTCTGGCAGTTTATTTGTTAAAAGATCACATTACTTGTATGTCTGAATCTGATCTAGGCTGGCCACTCTTGACAAAAACACTTCACATGTGGCACTGTACCCTCAGGATGTACATTCTGTCTGTCTCTCTGCTCAGGTCACAGCGAAACATTTCATTACCTTGAGTATTTGTTTTATGTAATAGAGACCTTAAATACTTTTTTCTTTTCTTTATTTACTCTTTCTAAGGAATGAATTAATTATCTACATCACCCAAAATGATATATATATATACACCCCCACTTGAATTGATTTGAGTTTTTCTCTTATGAGTAAAGTGACCAGATTTTAACATTGGTAAAGCAGGACACATTGTGGGGGGGGGTGTCTGGGGGCTGGGGCCTGACAACAATGCAAACTTTGATAAGCAGTTCTCGATAATCAGTTCTCAACAATTATTTGTTATCATTAAAGTTTAACATTATAAAATTAACAAAAATAATATAAAACTCATATCCTGGCAAAATAGCCACATGGCAGCCAAAAACTGTATATTCCCTTCCTGTTCTCCTGTGTTCCCTAGCTTGTCATGCATTCTTTCCAAAAATTGGGGCTTTTTTAAAACGCCACAGGATGCAGGACAAATTATTAAAAATCAGGACTGGCCTGTCAAAAGTGGGACGTCTGGTCACCTTACTCTAGGAGGGGAGGCAACTTGTTTGTTCCAGACAGTTTGGCTCCTTCTGAGCTAATTGTCCTTGCCTAGAAGCAAGAGAGGGAGCCAGTCTCCTTCTGATACCTCGCCCAGGAGGGGAGTAAGGAGTTTACATTAGCCTTTTCATTTCCAAATGAAGTTACATTAACTCTTCATTCCCAAATGGAGTTACATTAACCTTTTCAACAGCTGGAAAACCATATATTCCCTTCCCATTCTCACACTGTTCCCTAGCTTGTCATGTATTCTTTTCAAAAATCAGGACTTTTTTAAAACGCTGCCAGGATGTGGGACAGATTATTAAAAATCATGACTGGTCCACCAAAAGCGGGACATCTGGTCACCTTACTTATGTGGTATGTATTAGATCATCTATCCTCAAAGAACTCAGATTGGACCTCCCATTTGATCCTGCAATCTCATTACCAGGTGTCTATCCAGAAGAAAAAAAAATCAGTTAATCATAGGACATTTGCACTGGACTGTTTACCACAGCTCAGTTTTTACTTTTACTGATATACATGTTGTCCCTCTTCTGTGCTGAGAGGCTTTTCATGCTGGTTCTTTTTGAGCCACAGTATCTTTGATGGATCCCTTGCTATCAGGGTCATCTTCAACATTTCCTTTTCCTTGCTTTTTTTCTTTTTTTGAGGCAGATTCTCACTGTGTCGCCCTTGGTAGAGTGTCCTGGTGTCACAGCTCACAGCAACCTCCCTCTTTTGTGCTTAGGTGTTTCTCTTGCCTCAGCCTCCGCAGTAGCTGGGCTTACAGGCACCCAACACAATGCTGGTTTTTTTGTTGCAGTTTGGCTTGGCCGGGTTCGAACTTCCACCCTTGATGTATGGGGCCAGCACCCTACTCACTGGGTCACAGGCACCACCCAACATTTCCTTTCCCAAACATGGAAATAGCCACTGCCTGAATAATTTCTGATTCCCTTTAGTGGAAAATGGCATCTTGAGATCAAAACTGAAGTCTAAGATGTGTTCTTTCCCTCTTGCTTTCTGTTTCTAAGGCCTTTTTGTCTTCTTAGAGGACAGGCTTGTAAATATCATTTTTAAAAGGAAATAAATGAGTTTGAAGGGTATTTCTAACTCTATTAATAATATTTTTATTATGGGGATATAATTAAATGAATTTCTAATTACTTGTATGCTTTCTGCATATTCAATGCTTATGATGTTGCTTTAATCAATTATATGCATATAGGGTTTTTTTTTTTTCCCTCCATCTCTTTTTGTCTTTACAGTGAATTTTGCTCAAGGTGGACAAGCAAAAATCACTATTTGTCACTTGACGTTATTTCTCTTTGTTGGTTGAGCCAGCAACTAAATACATGATAAGTTTGATTTGGCTTCTGAATTTTGCATTTTGCAAGTTATTTAATTTGATATCATTTTATTTTAGAATTAGAAAATATTAATGTGACTTAAAACATAGCTACAAAGCGAGTATATTCAGAGAAGTTTAACCTCTACTAAGTCTCTCTCCCACATAGACAAGCACTTTACTAATTTTATGGTTTATCCTCTCATTTTGTTTAAGACTAAACAAGTATACACTGTCATATGATTTGTCAGGTAAATGGTAGTGCAACTTTCTTTTTGCATGTTAAATTAACATTAAATCCTGGAGATGAGAGTTTTATAAAGAGACACCTTCTTCTTTTTAACAGTTGTATGATATTCCACTGTGTAGGTTTAATTTAGTTTATTTGACACATTTCCTATTGATCATCACGGGTTTGCTTACAAATTATACTTTAGTGAATATTACCCAAATTAATTATTGTATATAATTTTATCAATACTTTTGCCACTGTATTTTTTTTTTTTTATGTCAGACAGGTAATGTGCCGAGGGCCTAACAAGATTGGTGGGAGGCACATCGCACACAGGCACAGGAAAACCCAATCATCACGCTTATGAACTACAAAAGGATCAGCCTCTTGTATTTTTTAAGACAGATTCTTAGAAGTGGGATTTCTGGGTCAAAGAATACATGTATTTGTAATTTTACTACATTGGCAAATTCTTTTCCACTGTTCCACATTCTCACAGCAATGCGTGAAAGGAGATTTTCCCTACAATTACCCCAACAGAGAAAATAAACAGCATTCTGGAATTGTTACTTGTTAAGAAAAAAATGATATTCAGTATAATTAAATTTGCATTTATTATATTAAAACTTTTCAATATTTAACTTCTCAATGTTAACTGTTTATTTTCCAGTGACCTTTATGATCATATCTTAGGCTGTTTTAAATACATTTTATGTTTTCTCCTTTTTAAAAAATGCATATTTTTATGTATTAAGAATTGTAGCTAGTTGTAAAAATGATGGTACGCCTTCACTTATTTCTATGTTCATGCCCTTTTCTTTTCTTTATTATCATTATTATTTTTACAAATTTTATTTATTTATTTATTTATTTTAGTTTTTGGCCAGGGCTGGCTGGGTTTGACCCACCACCTCCAGCATATGGGGCTGGCTCCTACTCCTTTGAGCCACAGGCACCACCGTTCCCGTCCTTTTCAATGTTACTTTGCGGCTCTTCCTGGGAAGAGTTGAGCTGGAATTCATTTTTCCCTTAGTTTGTACTAACACTCACCTTGGGGCTTGTTTTGGCCACTAGAATATAACCAGAGTCATCTTATACAGGTTCCATTTCTGGGCTTTGCGAGATGGCACAGTTTCTGAGAGCCTCGCCCAGCCCTGAGGAGCTTGCCAGAGGAGGGGAGGCCACATCCCTTAGCAGAGAGGAGCCATAGTTGTTAGGGGTGATCTTGAGCTGGTAACAGGAGTGAGCCTGGCAGAAACCAGAACCAAACCAGAAGGACCAAATACCTGGTTTAAAATTCCCACCCTAAATAAATTATTTTTGTTTTAAACCTCCAAATTTTGTTTTGTAATGCAGCAAAAATTCACACAAAGATAGCAACTCTTTTTTCATGAGAGAATACGATTATTTTTCCCAGTTCATACATTGTCTTTATTAGTGGCTAAACAAACTGATACCTTTCTTTGCATTTCTATTTAATTTTAAATCTTATTTTTATTTTTTGCTTTTACTCTTGATGCCTTTCCCCCACCTACGAACAGAGTTTTAAATAGTAGCAATCCCATCAAACCTGTGATTTTGCATTCTCCCTTTTTAATTTAGCTATATATCATGAACATTTTTCTGCATTTCTATATTGTGCTTATAGTTACACATTTTAATTATTAATCTTATTATCCTGAAGTCTATCATAACTTATTAATCTTTTGTTGGACATTTATTTTGTGTTTGTTTCTGCTATAGATAACTCTATAATGAACAGGATTTCCTTTATTGAATTGTTTCCTTATGAAAAATTGCCACGAATGGAATTACTGACTCAAAACATAAAAAATCTGTATAGTTCTTGCTATATTTTTGACACATAGCTTTACCAGATAATGTGGTTTGTGATGCTACCAGGAGTAAATACTGTGCTCTTCCTTTTAATTGTTTTACTATTTAAAGATAATTTGTCCCTTTTTTTCAAAGCAATTCCTGGAAATGCTTTAAAAATTAACAGATAACAATATAAAGTACAAAACTAAAATCCCCTATCCATCCCCCTCACAATAGTTAACTGATCCTCTAGTGGATTCACTTTCTCATCTTTTAGCCATTTCCTCTGCTGTTTAGCTCTAGGATTCAAAATAACTCAATTTTTTTTTTTTTACATAAACATGTGTTTATTAGGTTTCTACTTTTTGCCTTCACGAAATTAAAAAGGCTTAAAATTTAACAACAATAACAATGTTTAAGGTAAGGACTAGAAACAAAAACCTCATAGAGAATGAATGAAGATAAATACATTCAAAAAAGGAATCAGATGATTGCTGCAATGAAGTATTAAGCAATAATAATAGTAATGCAAAGAAAGTGGCATTCACATTGTCAAATAAGAGTATGTCTATTATAGAATGCTTTGACTCTGAGGTTCAGTATGGAGTCATCAATTAACATTATTATTATTTATTTTAATATTTGTAAATAAAAATAAAAGATAATTTCAAAAAGCAGATCATGCCAAATCTTACAGACAATATAAAAAGAAGAAATACTTGAAAATCATTCTGCTTGATCTGGATATACCTGATATTAAGATTGGAAAAAATATATTATTATAAAGGGGAAATTACAAACATAATTCACTTTTAAATGAGGCTGCAGTATCCTGTATCCTAAACAACATATTAACAAGTTGAAGTAAAAATTAATGTTTAAGTAATGTGCTTTAGTCAAAATCAAATCCCATTTATGTGAGAATTAGTCACTATTTTTTTTTCTTGTCCTTACCTTATTGACTTATAACTTATTTTTAACATCTTCCTAATTTTAGACACAATGTATCAACTTTCTACTATGGAAACCAAGGATTTAGTTCTCTTAATCATTTCTCACATTCTGGTATTCTTCTCACAAATATACATTCTCCTCCTCCCAGCTAACCAACACAGTTTTTTAATGCTTTAATAGACTCCTTATTAAGAATTTTTAATTGTGATGACTATGTAAATATTGTTTAGATGAGAGCCATGTTGAGTACTATTATTAAATTTTCTTTCTTGTCAAAATGCTTTCGTTTGCATTTTAAGGAATTAATTGGAATTTATTATTGTTGTTTTTAATAATCTTTGTCTAAGAATCCCCATGTTCTCTGATACTTTTCAGTCCTATTTTCAACTAAATCAAAGTTTTCAAATAATCTATCACTGTTATTATTTTTTTGAAAAATCCTTCCAGAAATGTAATTATTAAACTTTCTGCTTCAGTTCTGCCCAGTTGTTCTCTAGGTTTGCTGCATGTCCATCATCTTCACATTTCTCCTTGCTTTTATAGAATAGTTATTTTACCTCTCTCCTAGGCTGGATCCATGACTTCATGGATGCAATCTAAAAAGGACATTTGCTCTTTGTTTGGTGTGTTCAGCATCTGAAGCCTCCTCTGTGATCAGGGAAATCCCCATCCTTACAGATGTTGCAGGAAGGTACAAAGCAACTTATAGCACAGTAGTCATGGATACTGGATTCTGATTCCCCTGCCTGAGGATGCTGGATTCTGATTTCCAGACTGAGGATGCAGGATTCTGAATCCCCAGACTGAGGATGCTAGATTCAGATTTCCTGACTGAGGATGCTGGATTCAGATTTCCAAACTGAGGATGTTGGATTCTGATTTCCAGTCTGAAGATATGGATTCTGATTTCCTGACTGAGGATGCTGGATTCTGATTACCCAGAGTGAGGATGCTGGATTCTGATTTCCCAGACTCTTGTTAATCTGGGACACAAATGTGTGACCATGGATTGGCTCTGTCACACATGCCCATGGTGGACTTTCACCAAACTAAAGGCACATGAAAGGAGGGATAGGGAGTGCTCTCTGGTAGGAGCAGAAATAGCATATGTGAGACAGGCCTTCTGGTGTAGAAATGGGAGTGGTGTAACTTGTCCCATCTCCTTGGTGACTGCGGTGGAGTGGGGTGGGTAGTTTTTCTAACCCTTCCAATAGTCCTGTGAATTGCCTGTCAATAAACTCTCGCAATCATGATACTGAATCCTCTTTTGTTGCTTGGAATTGGGAAGTCTGATTGATAGAGAGATGGAAGGTATCTTGTACTTTCCTTTCTTATTTCCTCCTTTTTTGCTACAGAACATTCCTCAGCAGCTTTCTGCAAATGTATGAAGAAAGAAACATTTTTGAGAACATCTATGTCAGAGAGTTTTTCTTTCTGCTCTCACTTTTGTTAGATAGCTTAGTCTTAAATTTTAAGGTAGCAACTCATGCCTCTGAATTTTAAAATCATTTGTGCCTTTGCTTTCAGCATTGCTGTTAAGAAGGCTGATGCTACTTAAATCCTTTGTGATTTCTTTTCTCTTGTTCCCTAGAAAATTTCAGGATACTTTTTAAACTTTTAGTTGATGACAGTTTACTGGAATAGATGTTTATCTGAGTTGGGTTTTTTTAAGTTTCTTTCTCCACTGGTTTTTGCTGGATGATTTATATTTCAATGTGGAGATCTATGCTCTTCAGTTAAATTGGGGGAACTTGTCTTGTTTTTTTGTTTGTTTGTTTATTTTTTCTGATGTTTTACCCTCCCAATTTCTCTACTTTTTAGTTTTTTAAATGTGGAACACCCATGTAAATGCTGTACTTCTTCCATCAGTCTTCTTTTTTATCCTTACATTTTCTTTCCTATTTTTCCTTCGTTTTGTTTTTGTTTTATTTTCTGTGAGATGGCCCAGTATTTATTTATTTATTTTTCTTTCTTTCTAGTTTTTCTATTATATTTCATTTTTCAAGATTTTTGTTTTCTGGACTTTTTCCTTTTATAAATAACATCCCAATTTAGAGACATAAGTTTAATAATTTCCTCACTTCTTTAAGACAATAAACTATTTTTAAAGGTTTTTCTACTTTACATTTTTCTGCTTTAAATTCACTTTGATTGTTTTTTCTTTTTTTCTGTTTGTTTTCATTTCCATGTTTTATATTAGAGAATCTCTCATACCAACACCAACTGTGTGATGGTACTTGGATTCTCATTTATATTAAACACGAGGCCTTAAGGGTTTACTGGAGCTCTGTTTCCTTGAGTGGAGCTGGCTCACTGTGTACCCATGGGAGAGAGAACTCAGGCTTTCTCTTGTGTTTGAAAGGATCCTCCACTGTGTACAACACAGTATGTTCTATCAGTAAGATTTTTGTTGTTGCTGTTGCTGGATTTGGGTTTTCCTTCCATCTCCTGGCTGGGAACGATAGGCCTGAAAGTTAACAGTGTAAGCACCAGGCTTGGGGAGTAGATCCAGTGTTGAGTAAATGTTTTCACTTAAACCTCATTTATAGTATCTTATTACTTCTTCCCTCATCTGTGTTTTATGTTCTTAGGAGTTCCTGTATTGCTT